GGACAAATTCCTATTAATCTAGTTCAACCCAATGTTCCCTCAATGATCAGGTATACATGTGCTTCTATGTTCCCAATGAGAAACAGATTTTCCATATATCATCATAAAGGATACTACTTAGGAACCTTAAAAGAAAGTAAGTAACAGTCTCTCAACATCTACTCAATTTGAACAATCTCTACAAATTTTCTCAATCACACTTGAGCAACAAAAGCGAAACTCCAGTATTTTTCCAATGGTAAGCCAACCTAAAGTTCTGCCTTATAAGCATCAGATAAAGTTGGGCAGCTATCTTGATTACAAAATGCCAAGGCACTTGATGTAATAGTGAAAAGTTTTACAAAGTATATGGCATCTTTTAGAACAATGACTTATAAAGCACCTCACTGAAGTCTTTTTCAAGGAGTGCCAATGAATCTGGGCAATTCAGCCGTACAATCCTCACTAGCCGAGCTTATGAACACCATGCACACACCCACATGCAGGATGACTCTGACTACACATAAACCAGAAGAGTAACTAGCAACAAGGGGATTACCTCTTGGTATTATTACTCTGCTGTTCAAGTTAGTGTTCCTCCTAGACTTTTCTCTTTTTTTTTTTTTTATTTTTTTAAAACTCACAGCAAGTTGCAATAATAGCAGAGTCCTATATACCCTTTATACCCTTCACCTAGCTTCTCCCCATGGTGACATCTTATACAGTTATAGCACAATAGCAAAACCAGGAAACTGACATTATTAGTACATTATTGTTTTATAAGACTATGGACTCCTTTATCCTTTTTTTAGAAAAGTTATACTGTAGTGAACTTTCACAGAAACTCTCCCAGAACCTGAGCATCCTGATACGGAACTACCAATCTACATCTAACACAACTGCAAATTACCATATGTAAACAATCCTTATACACACCCTATATATTCATACCTCACACACACACACACACAAAACTTACATGAAAGTAAGAGCAATTCAGCCTTCTCAACTGAGTACAGTTTTCCACTTATTTCCACTTTTCCCCACTACTAACTACTACATGAAAACTATGTGTAAATGAATCTGAGGGCTAAGAGAAATCTTTAGAAGTTATTTAATGTAAAAATCCATCCAATGTTTGAATTACCTCTACAACATCTCCACCAATGATCCTTCAAGCCTTTACTTGAATATCGCTGACAAGAAATTAATAAGTCATGAGGAAATCCGGTCTCCCTTTGGTCAGCCCTAATTCTTAAAAGGTATCTCTATTAATAAGCCAAAATTTTGAGAACTTGTACTCATTTAATTTTGTGGTACCCTCTGGGAATATTAGCAAGTCGGTCTGATCCCTCACTACCTTTCTCCAAGGAAAATCAGACATCTGGGCCACCCAAGGTCATCCTAGTCTTAGTTTGCACCTGTAGTTAACATCCCCTTTCACACTCACGATTTAAACAAAACATACCGTCACTCTATCCTGGAAAACCCTCAAAATATGAAGTCCTAATAGATATTAATGAACAAAACTGCTGCATTTACTTTCTACATAAAAACTGTAAAATCCTATTCCTGGGAAAATTTTACTTTCCAAAGTTAACAGACAATAACACATTTTTATCAGGTTAAACATCCCTCATTTTTCAGCTATTCTTTGTATAAGATTTTGAGGGCCTTCACTAGCCATAACACTTTTGCTTCTGAATGCACGCCCGTTTATTTATACTCTTAGAGCCCTAATGTTTAAATTTCTTGTTGCGTTAATGATGGATATTGTAATCTCAATTAAAGAATAGAAAATAATTTATTTCCCTTTGACTAATAGACCAAGATACAGCCGTGGAATTAACACGCTGCTGAGTATACACACCTGAGTATCTCGAACAATGGTACTAGGTAGCAGTCTCACATGATACCAGTAGGTGTCACTATATATATAACATATTTAAAGTTATTTAAATCTCAATTCATTCATTCAACAGTATTTATTGAGTGACCATTATGTGCCAGTATGATTCTAGGTGCTGAGAATATAGAGATAAATAAGAAAAACAAATCTTGTTTTCATGGAGCTTACAGTCTAGATATTAATGAATAAAACTGTTTATTTGCTTTCTATATAAATGTTGTAAAATCCTATTCCTGGGAAAATTGTACTTTCCAAAGTTAACAGACACTAAATAACTCAAAATAACTCATATCAATAAGTTATGATTTTAAGTGTTGGTGTTAAGAAAACTGGACAACTATACGCAAGGAATGAAACTGGATTACTGCCTAACTCCATATACAAAAGTAAACTCAAAATGGATCAAAGACCTGAATGTAAGACATGAAACCATAAAACTCTTTGAAGAAAACAGAGGCAAAAACCTCTTGAACATAAGCATGTGCAATTTTTTTATGGACACATATCCTCAGGCAGGGAAACAAACCAAAAATGAACAAATGAGACTAAACAAAGCAGTATGGAGGTTCCTCAAAAAACTAAAAATAGAAACACCATTTGACCCAGTAATTCCACTTCTAGGAATTTACTCAAAGAAAACAAAATCCCTTATTCAAAAAGATATATGCACCCCTATGTTTATTGCCACATTATTGTCACATTATTTATAATAGCCAAGATATGGAAGCAACCAAAGTGTCCATCAATATATGAATGGATAAAGAAGGTGTTGGTACATATACACAAAGGAATATTATTCAGCCATTAAAAAAAGAAATCCTGACATTTGCAACAATATGAATGGATCTAGAGGGTATTATGCTAAGTGAAATAAGCTAGGCGGAGAAAGGCAAATACCATTCAATTTCACTTATTTGTGGACTCTAAAAACAAAACAATACAAAATGAACAAAAATGGATCAAATAGTGACTCACAGACACTGCCTAGTTACTGGTAGTTACCATGAGTGAAGGGCTGGAATAGGTGGATGTGGAGGTGAATAAGGGGTGCAAAAATTCTCAATCACAATATAAGTTGGTCATGGGGATAGAACTACAGCACGGAGAACAGAGCCAATGATTCTGTAACATCTTCCTATGTTGACACATAGTAACTGCGCTGGTTGGAGTGAGGATTTAAAATAGCGGGTAACTGCTGAACCACTGTGTTGTATACTTGAAACCACTATAAAATTGTATATCAACCATACGTCTATAAAAAAATAGTAACTCATAAAAAACAAATACTATAATGAAACAGATGCAGAGAAACTGTGTTCCATATGGGATAATGCATCCTGTTATTTTACAGCTGCTTGAATTTACTCAACCCTTGTCTTCCAAACATCAAGTTTCTAAAACCAAAATTTTAGATATTCCTCAGTGCAACATAAGGAATTTATCTTAAAAAACAATTCACATTCTAAGAAATCTACCTGCCTTTGTTTTCATAAAGGAGAGAATATGTCACAAATTTTAAACGATTATTTGCAAAGTTTCTTAGTTCCCAAATACACATAGCTCTTTATCTTACTTAGAAAAGTTAAATGTCACCTTCTAAATACTAAACCCACTTCCCAGGTTAACAGAATAAAGACAGTAACAAATTATGTCTAAGCACAGGATTTAGGAATTCCTCCATGTCAAAAGTTCTTATTTGGATAAACCTGTGAGTCACAGTTTTTGTCAGGATTTCAAGGTGACTTTCTCATGATTAGAGCATAGCAATGAAAAGTCATACTTTGTCAAAATAAACAGATCTAAGAAAGGGAATACACACTGTACTTCAAAAAAGTATACTGGCCTGCACAATAAGCAATTCCTATTTTGCTTCTCTATATTCTCAAAATAGAATGTTCTCCCAACTTGAAAGCTAGGAAACATATGGTTATGGAATATTTCAGGCTCAAAAGTCCTACTGATTAGAATTCTCTAAGATCAAAATTCAGTCATATGAATTTACTTGAGAAAAATGATGCTTCTTAAGAATTTAATAAGACACTGACAGCTTCATAGAATATCCAACCTAATGCTCCCTTTGCAACACCTTGTACTATTATATAAGATATACTGACTATTGTTCAATTTTAGCATAGATCACATGCATTCCTTAGAACACAAGCAGTACTCAATGAACATTAAGTTACAAATGAACATTTACTAGGTGCTTCATAAAAAAAGTTAATGTAAAAAAAGGCCTAAGGTAATTTATACCTTGATATTAAATAAAGCAATGTTTTTTACTTTGAGAGGTCCAGTGATGGTTGATGAAACATATTTAAAACAGTTTATTGTGGGCAGTTTTTAAATTACACTTGTAAACTCTGACAAGCCCAGTACTGTTAATGTTTGGTGTATCTGAGATGTTACCAAATTTGGGAGAACTCAATAGCAGATATCTTTGTTATCTCTGTATTTTTATTCCCAATATAAAAGCATGTGCATGTACATGTAGAGGGGGTTTTAGTATACTGGAAAAAGCACAGCTTAGGAGTCACAGATCTGGGTTTGAATTCCAGCACTACTTTCAATTAGCTATGTGACTTCTGGGCAAGTTACTCAGCCCCTTCTAAATATTACTTCCCAACAACATACAAATAACATGGTTGTGAGAAGGATTAAGAAGTCGCTTTATTTAAAATGCCTAATATATGCTCTGACACATAGTAGGTGCTCCATAAATGGTAGTTATTAGAAGAACGCCATTTTTCTTTTTGACCATTAGATTGTCTATACCAGTTCAGGTTGAACAACCATTGGCTCACAAATTTTTCTAATTAACACAAAGTGTATCTTTACCCTACTATGATGGGTTTATAAAACCAAACTCCTTACGCAACTGAATGCCAGCAAACATGCACCTTCTCTGTTAGTCAAATGTATTTTGCATGACCTTACATGAATTGCTTAGATAAAAGCTTTTTTTCTTCTGCTTTTGTTATTTTAAAGTGCAGATACATTTGAGTCATTTTCTCCCTTTGTTTCATATTCTTAAGATCCAAAGCTTCAAAGACACAATGTCAGCATGCAGTCGATTTATGACTGAAGTCTTGAAGAGACACTGAAGAATTACCTTGTCAATCACCCCAAGGACTCTGAAGGCCTTCAGCTCCTCGGCAGGGCTCCTTAGGTTCCAAGGAGGCCTTGAACTTAGTGATCCTGGAGGCTAATGGAAGATATCAAAGATTATACATCAATCAGGGAGGTACTTGAAGGAAGACTGCCTGCTGAAGCAAATGCCAGGCCAAAGGAAACTAAATTCATCATAAATCAGAGAATGGGAAGATGAAAGGAGGAAGTTTCTGTTTGTCGGTAATGTAAAATAAAAAATAATAATAATAAAATCAAAAAGAAAAAGCAAGAAAAAAGTTACAAGTAAATAAACCATGATAACATTAAAAACAAAAATTTTAAGAAGAAAAATTAATGAGTTGATATAGTTTCTGAGCAGTAATTCAATTGAGGACTGTACAGCTATAATGAAACTTCATAACAAATGGCTAACTGAGCCAACAATCAATGACAGCCTTAAATTTACCCCAGACAGCTCAAGAGTAATTTAGAAAGGGGGAAGGGTTAAAAAACAATGTAATAATAGACAAATTTGGGAGGCAACAAACACAAGTCTTTCTCACTCATTATGAAATTACAGTCCTTTAATGTTACTTTATAAATATATTCTATGTATTTTAAGAGGGACTGGCAGATTCAAATTCAAGCAGAACTGCCAATAATGGCAAAAAATATAACCAATAATTATTAGAACTGAGGTTTATTAAGCCAGAAAAGAGATAATTTACTAGAGAAAAGAAACCTTTTTAAAAATATTTGAACATCTGTGGTATGTAAAACTTAGTCTATTAGCTACAAAAGAAGTCCAGTAAAGACCAGTGAATACAGCAAGGAATATTTCAGCACCACACACGATAAAAGACTAATCATAACTTCCCATCCATTGGTCTTAGTTTTTCCCTATCAGTAAAGTGGAACATTACACTAGATAAACTCCAGGCACCTCATTTAGCATTTACAACCAGAGAGCAATGCTATATTCATCTTTATATTAAAATGGTGATGCTACAAAGGATGATAGGAGACACACAGCCTATTATAGCTGCAAAGCAGACCTTTTTTGTTGTCAAATATCTATTGGAATATATAGGAAACAGTGTTTCCCCCATGAGAAGAAGATAAAAATCCAGGTTAATCAAATGTCATGATTAACAGAGCTACTGGGATAGCATTTATGATACGTCCAGGCCTTGTGTAGACCAACATTTCCAGACAGGAAGCTCCTTGAGAACAGGAAATACGCTTTATTCATCTTATATTCACAGTGCCTAGCATGTTAGTTAGAAGGAGAACAGAACCACAGAAAAGAGGGGAAAGATGAAGAGAGGAGGGAAAGTAGAAGGAGGCTGCAAAGATAAATTAGGGGTCATTTACAATTATCATTTGTGACATTTTCTAAAAGCAATGTTTTCTTTGTTTTTTAGACTTTGCAAGCAAATACTAACTTTAATATGCCTGAAGAGATGTTTGATTAAGAAAAGATGACTTTATTTTTTAAAGACACTTAACTAGAATACATTGGTGATAGTGGCAATTGGACTGGACAAGAATAATCCTTTTAAATTGACTTAATTTACCCTGGGATATGTTTCCAAAAAAATATTTATTTAATATCTGACTTAGGTGTTGAGTCTAAATGACATATACAAAAGATACATCTCTGCCTAACTAAATAAGCTTAAAATCCACGGGGAATTTTTGAGGCTATAAAAACATTTAGCAGGTCATTTTAATAGACATATAGCAGAGATGGTCTCTTCTACATTAATTTATATTATTAAGATTTCATCTTTACTCCCCAACCCCACCCTGACTGTAGTACTTATAAGAAGTTATTACAATCCCCGTTTTACAGATAAATAAAGGGAAGTTCAGAATGGTTGAGTGTGGTCATAAAGAGCAATGGAAACTCCTAGACTAGACCCCAACTCTTTATTGTTTGCAGTGTACTCTACAAAAATTCACCTCCCCTTACTCTATTATCAAGAAAGACTGAAGAACTGCTTACAATTTTAGAAGAAAAATGTTGAAGATATGTTATAGAGGGAAAAAGAATACTTCCAAAGAAGTAAACATAATGTTCTTCATGTAATTGTAGATTAATGATACCAAAGTAAAAAATAAATAAATTAAGAATACTTCCAAAGATAATTTACTCTTTACATTTGTCTTTGCAAATAGGGCCAAAGGCATCCAACATCTCTATCTCCTACTTACTACAACTTCTTATTCACCGATCTCATTGGATCTTTCCATTTCCAAAGAAAGTTATTAGTTTTGTTTAGCAACCTCAACGACAAAGATAGCAAACTACAAAACTTCTACTGCACCTTTCACTAACTTATGACTATGTGCTCACTATGTGCATAACTGAAAAGGATATAAATCATCAAAAGGCCCACTCTGCTAACCTCAAAAAGTTTACAGTTTTTTTGAGAAGACAAGCCAAATGCATGAGAAGTTAAATAATTTTTTTTAATTCTTTTAAATTACAAGACAACAGAGTTAAGTCACTAGTTAATGTATAATTAATGGTGGGCTTAGAAAGAAGTAGAACGAAAAGTGATTTTAAGTGCTATGTAGAAATTAGGTTAGGAAAAGTATATCATATAGGCATCAGAAGGAAACTGGACTGGTGAGGAAAAAACAAGTTTCTGTACAAGAAACAACCCAATGAAAACAGGGATTTAGTAAGGTTACTTTTGCAAAGATGGGAATGGTGAAATTGTAATGGGGAAAGACCAAAGGCAAAGTGATCATTAAAGTTCTCTTTCTAGCTTAACCATCTATAAAAGTTTAAGATCAGAGAAACGAACAAAGAAAGATCATGAAATAAAACCATCAATAAAAGAATCCTGTATTTCTTATATGCAGCATTTAAATTGGGTAGAATCCCTATAGATCTATTCCTTTTTTCGGATGGCAAAAGGAAACAGAAATCCACAGAATTTTAAGAACAGAAAGAAACGGAGATCAAGTCCAACATTCTCTCTTTTTTTTTAGATGAGAAAACTGAGAAGCAGCAAGACTAAGCAAATTGTCTAAAACGTCAAAATGAGGTAATAGATCAGAGGGGATTAAATCTTACTTATAAAGTAATATAACATTTGGGAAGCTTCAGCCAACTGGGGGGTGGGGGCAGGTGGAAGGGGAAGGAATGCAATATATTTCTAAGTAGCATGGCTGATTTCCATAATGGAAAAAGTATAATTCTCATATATACATATATATTAGCTATTGTAGCAAAAGATGCCTAGAAAAGCAAGTAGTAGTTGTATTCATGTATAACAAAACAAAATATGAAGGTGGAAGAGACAAGAATATATCATGATCAACAACCTTCAAAAACTCAAGACAGCAAGTACTATCACTCAACTGCTCAAGCCCATGGCAGCCATCTTCGTGAGTCCCACACTCTGTCCCGCAATACAGTGCTCTTGGCAGCCACTCCCGGTGGATTTGAGTTAGGCATATTACTAAAACCTATTTACTCTTTCATTACATTCTCTAAATGGCTAAGTGAAGCTTGTTAAGCCTTTGTTTCGTTTGGGTTTTTTTTTTAAGTTGCTATTTATTCTGCCACAGTCTTTTTCAATTGATATGATTCCCTGTTCTCAATGAGACCTATCACCATTCCTACCAGTCCGTTAGTGTGGTACTTCCCAAACCTGAACACAGATGTGTAATGCCTGAGGGCCTTGCTAAAATGGAGATTCTGATGGTGGGGCGGGGCGGGGAGGGGTGCCTAAAATTCTGAATTTGTAAACCTAACAGGTGATGCTGATGCTGATGGTCCATCAAACCACATCTGGAATAGGGTTCACTACTTGTCCCTAAATAACCTGAGAGTAAGTTACCATTACTTGGGGAAAATAAATGGAAATATAATCTTTTTGTTCTAAAAGAAATGGTCAAACTGTAACATCAAACTGTTCTCACTAGTAAGTATAGTTTTGATAACTGGTCACACAAAATGAAAAGGGCTCAGAAAATCAGTAACAAAAAGTTTCAGTTGTCCAATCAGTCAAGATTAAATACTAGGCTATTTTTAAACTAGAAAATTGAAACATTTTATAATCTCCAAAAAGTATACAAGCATTAAAAAATGTGGGAGACAGTATATAAAGCAGTTTATGAGGACAGATAAAAAAGCCAAAACTTATTTAGTCTTATAAGCTTGGCTTACAGGCTCAGTCTTTTTATGACGTAGGCACTCCATTTGCATTTGTGTGTGTGTGTGTGCGCACGTGCGTGCATGTGTGCACGTGCGTGCGTGTGTGTGTGCATGCACAAATATATATGAGTGGTTTTTTTAAACTCATTTAATGCTTACAACAACCCAAAAAGGAATTACTATTGTCCTCATTATTCAGATGAACAGACTGAAGCTAAGAGCTAGGGTTAAGTATCTTGTCCAATTTCTATGCCTTCAAGTGACAGAATTGGGACATGAACAGTCCTGCCTACCTCTTAGAACAATTAAGAAAATAAACACTTCTTCCCATCTCTAGAAGATACGATTCTTAAATTGCATCAGACAAAACTTAGTTTAATATAAAGGAAAAAAATAACAGAAAAGTTTCTTCCAGAAATTTGCTAAATCCAGATAGATATGATATAAAAACAGTAATAATAATCCACAATGTTTCTAATGTTTTAAGCTTCACTTGCTTTAAGACTAAAGGAAGTCCCAAATAACTAAACATTCTTATTGAAATTATGCTTTTATAATTCTAGGCCATCTATAGCAGCTTCTTGTAGGACTTATGTTTTAACATGAATCATTAAAACTGTACAGGAACTGAAGAAGAACACAGATTTAATTTTCCCCATTCTACACATGGGGATATTAGGGGTGATGGAAAGAAGAAAGGATTGAGAAAGAGAAGGAGAAAGCAAGTCTCATTTTATTCCACTTTTGGTGGTTTTCTTCAATGCTTTCTTTGTACCAATCACTTGTAAGAAATTACTGATAAAATTCCAAAGACCAAAATCCTCAAACATTCTAAATAGAAATAAAGCCGAGAGACAAGACACCAAAAATGGCTAAAGAAAATACAAAATGAAACAAAAGACGTGCCTGAGAGACATCATCAAGCTGAGGTTTTCCATAAAGGCTAGAGAGAGACTCCGCTCGCATGAGATACTCCGCTGTCCTTCTCTTCACAGCTTCTCGACGGGTAGGGCTGGACTCGCCTAAAACGAGAAAATGAGCAACACACCTGAAAAATAAATCAATTTTCTTTTATCCAATCTGAGGCTTAACTTCCTTTTATTGAATTCACTGTTTGTTCATTTTTCTAAGTGGAAAGAAGAGAGATTCAAAATTGGAACAGACATTGAAATTATTAATGCCAACAAGGTCTAAATATTACCTCCATGAATTTCATTTATCTAAATTCTGAAACTCTCCTTTTTCAATACGATAGAGAACTTTGTAGGAGTTGGTACATAAAAAATGTAGTATTAAAAACTCTGCAGACAAAAAACTATTGTTATAATTTTTGTTACACAATCATCCAACTCAACGAATAGGACTAAGTGCAATAGAGGTTCAGTAAGAGCTCTGACATGGATATGATAAGCTGTAAAAGTATCACCAAACTGGAGAATAAAATTATTTGTGGTAACTCTGAATTCACTCTGACTATTGTAAGCTTCATGGTTTTTCATTAACAACAAATTGTCGCACACCTTACAACTGCAAGCAAAACTATGACTGAGATCCCTGTAATACAAAATTTATGCAGAAGTGAGTAAGTCATTTACTTGGTCTGGCTCTCAGTTTCCCTAGACAAAGGGTATTGAAAGTGGCCTCCAAAAAACTCAAGACCTCAAAACAGAGGTTGTCTAGCCCATGAAATACTGGCCGCCCCCCGCACCTTTCCAGAGCGGGGTGATCCTATGTTTTTTTACCCACTGCATACACTTGACTATGATCTGACATTTCATTTTCATTCCATGGCTGAAAGTCAAAAAGTTTGAAAACAACTGCACTACACTATCTCTAAAATTCCTTTCATAAGGAATACTCTATGCTACTTATGACTCCTTTTTATCAAAGCACTTAATACATTGTACTGTTCACCCTATGCATCTTCTGAATGAAGTTACCAAAAAAGCAAATATCATACAATAGAAAGTGCCCCGGATTACATTCCAAATACCCTGGTATTCCGAGTTCTGGCTCTGCCTTTCACTAGTCATGTGACAAGTGAATCTTCTCCAGTCTCTGAACTTCCTCCTTGTTCTCTAAATAGGAAATACACATCTCAAACGACGGTGGCGATTAAAGGAGACAACATAAATAAAAGGTACTGTGGGAGCACTAAATGGTGAAGGTTTTCAATCTTCTTATTCTCTCAAAACCAAATCCTACAAAAATAATGTTACCTGGTTTGTTGAACTAAAGTGAACTGAATTATAGTAAAGCAGATACTTTCCCCTCAAAAAGATTTTCAGTGGAAAAGCCTCTTCTTAATTCTGCCTGGAACAGAATTTTCTGTTTCTGCAGGAAAAGCCTTTCTCCTCCCCTTCAAACCCCTCCACCTCTTTCCCTATTAAGTACCAACCTTTCACAGTGATTTGAACGAAAGCTGTTATTTTGTTTCAGATCTCAGTCCCTCTAGTCACTGCTATTTAGCCAAGGGTGAGCCCCCCTTGTCACAAGCTGAGCCAATCATAGAACCCCACCTATTGGCCACAGTGAGAGAAGGGAGAATTGGGCCAATCAGTCCTTCTCTGTTATTAATGCTGGAATTAAGAGGAGTGAGAAATGCCAGCAGCCACAGTTTCTGCCAGTGCGTAAAAAGCTAATCGGAAAGAAGGAACTTGACAGAGAGAAGCAGTTATGACAAAAAAAGAGATCCTAACGTGCCTGGGGTCTCTGATTCCTGCCCTCCTTTGCTTACATAGCTCCAATGCCAATTTTGTCACATGGGAACCTAAGAGCCTTGACTGAGTACAGACCTCAAAGACAAACTGCAACAAAATTGGGGTTGCAAGTCTGCTAAATAACTTTTCTTTCACAGCTTTTACATTACTATTCCATCTCTTCTCTCCCTTATGAATAATTCAAAAATATAACTAGCCCTAGTGGGGGAAAAAATCTTACTTTTTAACTGTGGAACAATCTACCTTTATTAACTGTCCAACTCCTCAAACCTCCACTAAAATTAAAATATCAATGTTTCTGCCACTATCCTTAACATTTACTTAGTTTCTAAACCCAAGGTTTTTCTTCTTACTTGGTTGAAAAACAGATAAAATCTGAAAAATTACCTAACTATAACATATTCTGAAGGTAAAATGTGCCATATAAAAAAGAAATAGTCACTATTTCTACACACTACTAGTCCCTCCACTTTGAGTTTACTCTTCATGGACTCTAACTACGATTCTCACTATTAGGTCTTCTCATTTCAGGTTATGCTTTTCAAGACCCAATATAAATCCCCATCTGGAATTTTTTATTCATCTTAGGCTCAACTGTAACAGAAACTATGGACATTTAGTTTTTTAATTCAGTCTGATTAAGCTTGAATAAACTTTGAAAACTTGTTTTATTCAAAAGGAATCAACTTGCCTCCCCAAATAATTTGAAATTCAAAAAGGCCAACCTTATGGAACACCTAATTAAAGCTAGAGTTAAAACTGTATTTTGTAATCAAATCACTGTTTTTTAAACTTTTGGTATCTCTGCCGCTTTCTAGGCAGTCTCCATGGTAACAGAGAAACAAGAACCGGAAGCCAGCAGTTGAAATGGACTCCTGCTGATGACCGTGGTTCCGCTTCCATGGAAACAACCATGAAGTGATGGAAATTCTGGAAGGCTTTTTAAATATAACCTTAAATATACAGACTATGACTCCTTCCTTATCAGCCCCTTAAAAGTAGGTCACAACCACTGCTGATCAATAGCAGCAGCCCAGGATGAAAACCACTCTAGCAGATTTCTGCTGCTGGATACTTCCTGAGGTTTGTAGGCAACAGAAAGAAAAGACTAATCTGTAGATTTCTAGAATAATCCTAAAATCAAATTACTGATAACTGATTGTAAACAGATTTTAATTGATTAAAATTTTTAAATCAATTCTAACCTCCTTAATTCCTTAATCTTCATTTTAAGACTCATACCCAGCCCATAATGCTTCTTTTTCAAGGAAAAGTAGGTTATCTAGAATCCAACTTTTAATCCCATATTAGGTAATGTGGCTATTATTTCTTCAGTAATATGCCCAGGCAGACATTCTATAAATGCTTTTTTAAATGGATATTTTACATTCTACCTAAAAATAAATAAATATCTTCAAAAGTTTCTCTGCATTTCTGCTCATCATTCAGATAAAGCAAGAATTTCCTCCAATTAAAAACAAATAAATTTTAAAAATTTCCCCTGGGCTTTGACATTCAAAAGAGAAAAACTGCTCCCATTATTTACTGACCTTTATGTTAAAAAGTTCTGGTGTACCATAACAGATGTCTTACTGTGGGTAAAACTAATATTTCCAGAATATCTAGCCTGGCTTTAGTATATCTGCATATCAACAGGTGCTCAAGGGTGGATAGAAGTATGGCTTTAGTGCATTTGCATCATTCCTCGGGGGTGGAGAGAAGTTCATCTCCGTATCAGTGGGTAACTACCTGGGCAAGGAGGGCTTACCTGTACCTGAGAGGTGAGGGGAGGGCCAGTTTTGCTGCTGTCGGAGCAGGAAAGAGGGATGGCCCAGGACTACAGTTTGTGAGCAGTAAACGGATTTTAAACTTTATTTCTCCCTTTCACTGATTTCGGTTTTTTGAGGTATTTTGCCCCAGGATTTCCTTTCTCTGGACTTATACTTAAGCATATTTGCCAACCTGTATTTCTTTACCTTATCAATTTCTCATCAGGAAAGAGGATGGGTATATGGTGATTACAGAGTACAATCTGTGAAAGAAGTGTAGCTGAGGAGAAATTCCAAAGTTGCCAATGAAATAGAAACTTTGGCCGGCAAATTCTGCATTTCTCATAGCACCAACTCTGACTTACGTTACTAAGAGAAGTTTTATAGAAGGCACAGTCTACAATGGAATTGTGAAATTCTAATTTAGTCAAGAAGCCATTGCCACTTGACACTCCTTCATTACATCAAATTCTATTTACAAGATGTATTATCTTCCTTTTATAACTAAGCAAATTAAGGCTCAGGGATGTGAGATGGCTTTCTCAATTACGAAACTAATGTTAAGAGTCTAAACCTCAATCAGGTCTTATGATACCACACTTCTGGTCACTGAATTTGAATTAGATTATTCTATTACTGAATAGAACAAGAAAAATACAGAGTACAGAGCAGGGTACAGGTAAGTATGGAAACAAAGAGAAGAGAAAAATAAACTATTAGGAGCCTCCCAGACAACACAGCAGGGTAGAATCAGAGAGGAGGAAACTGAAGATGACAGACAAGCACACGGGAAAATGAGAGCTGCAAAGAGGTATGAAGTTCACACTATGTAAAAGAAAATGAGCTTTCCTGAGAAAAACTGGCCTCTCAAACACCCTTGTTACCCAAGGATTTCTTTGGAAAACAAAGGTCTTTTTTCATTTACCATAAAAAAAAAAAAAAAGTGAAGGGGGGCATAAATGGTGAGAATGTTCAATATCTTGATCTGGGTGATGGCTACAAGAGAGAAAAAAGAAAACGGTATCTTTACTCACAGAACTAATGAAAATCAGTTTCACAGATTAGAACATAGCTAATGTCTCATCACTGGGTCAAAAGAATGACGATACTGGAAGAACTGGCTGTATTAGACAATACAGTATGTGTACATCTGTACTTTATGGGAAATTTTAAGGGATTTCCAAGAGTATTTTGACTATACTTGATTTTTGCCACATGCACAGAATTCAGTCCCCACAGAAGACTCCGGTCACATTTTACACTCTTATCTCTACTTCTTTACTCCACAAACACTCTTCAAGAGGCCCTGCCACTTGGTGTCAAGCATTCTTGGTGTCCACTCCGACTTAACACATCAGCAAGAACATTCAAATCAACCTGGGTTTGACAGAATGAGTGTTTGTATGTGGGTGCTTCCTTTTTCTTTTTTAAACAACTTTAGTCACATAAAAGCATACTCCTGTTTGAGATGGCCTTGGTGGCTATAGTTTTTTTAAGTGCCGATTTATTATATTTAATGGTTTTTTTGTTCTT